ACGATGATGACGACAGGTGAGGAAAAAATAAATCTTCACTTGCTTTGTAAAGAGGCGTGTTGTTGCCCTATATGGTGATTTGGAGGCGTACCTGAAGGCAACGTGCACGAGCACAGAGGTTAAGAACAAGTGGGATTTATCAACACTGATGTACGTACGACCCCTGTACGCACGTTTGATAAATTTTTTTGTACTTAGGCACACTCTAAATTTCATTCGTACGACAGAATTTAGAACCTTTTCTACGCACTGATGATAAATGAGGCCCCAGGGGCCTCATGTTCAAAGCGTGCGTACGCACAAAAACTTGGCGTACGCACTTATCCACGCTCACATTCAGACGTATCAAGAATGAAATGAACGTGGAAATATGTGGTCCTGCACGCCAACTTCTTGACTGGCGTACGCACGTTTCTATTGCTTTTGAGCCGTTGGCGACACTTATAGGTGATGCTGGGAATATAAAAACGTAAAAAACAATGTAAAAAAAAAAGTAATTCCTCAAAGTAATAAGCACATCAGAGACACTTAGATGAACAATTAACAAGCCCAGGGGTTTGCAATCAGATGAGGGGATATAAAAGTTTACGTAAAATGGTGCAGAAGATACCGTTAACAACAATGGCAGCTTTGGCACTGTCGGAGGATATTGCCAATGGCGCAGTGCCAAGAGAACGGGTTTCCAGAGACCTCAGGACGACCTCAGACCTCAGGACGACGAGTGGATCATCAGCCGCGTACGCACCCTTTGTACATGAGGCCCCAGGTCTTCAGCCTTTGTTTCCAGGTATGTGAGTCATTTCGTTGCACTTCTCAGTCTTTTCTAGTTGTTCCTCAGTTGTCATTATCCGGTTTTCAGCCTCTACCCTTGTAGTGTTAGAAGCAACATTCTTTTTCACTTCCGACATTTTGTTTTCCAAAGCTGCAACAGAGTTGGCCATCTTACCGAGGCGGTCGTCAATAGAGCCTAGTTTAGAGGCAAATCCTCCAAACTCTAAGCTTTAGCTCAGTTAGCACTGCCGCTATGTCCACCATGCTGCTAGCAGCCTCCTCGTCCTGTTGGGCTTGTGGAAAGTTCCTTTTTTGTTTTTGTGAGCTGCGTTTGCGGGTGAAAATGTCACAGTCTTTAACTGTAGTCATTTTTGACATGGTCAACAGAAACTCGTGTGATTAAATAAGGGTTTAAAGGATATTTGGTGCAAGGTGGTACTGAGCATCAGCACCAGGCAGCCACCCTGTTCCGTGGCTCCATAGCGCCCCCACTGATTTTGTTTTTTAATATGTTTAGTTGAATTTGCTGTAATTTAGCCCAGTGGTGGCAGATGTTGGGAGCTGGACCCTTAAAAGCATCACAAAATAAATCTGATGGGTCCTGAGATCATTTCTAGGTGTTTTCTCAAGTTTATTTTACATTTTTTGTGACAGTAGATAGTTGTACTTCTTTTGGCCTTAATTTATGATTTAAATAAAACGATCTGAGAAGTTNAGCACAACAGACACACATACAGTTTACACAAATCGCTCAGCATTCAGCAGCCCATCCTAAAGCACCTTGTTCAAGAAAGTCCAACAGTTGTTTCCATATGCATTCAAATTCTTCTGCTCTGCCTCTGATTATGTGAGTGAGTTTCTTCAATGCAGTGCAGTATGCCATCTCCTTCACCCATACTCTGTTTTCCTCCAAGATAAAGCTATCGTCCTCCTGCCCTGCAGGAGTCCAAAATCAATTAAAGTCGATTGTTTTGAATTAACTTTAAAGTTCTCTGGATATATACCTAAAGTACACAGATTGGCTTGGGGAGGCACTTTCAAATTAACAATTTCGGAATTGTATGAACAACTGTTTTCCAATACCTTTGTACTTTTGGACATTCCCAAACACAGTGAATCAGAGTACCTTTTCCTTCTGAGCACTTAATGCAGTTATCTGGAACGCCCAGGGATGAAAATTTCGCAAAAGAACCCTTTCTCCAGGGAGCAGGGGGACATTTTTAGCTTTTGAGTCATACCTGGCTTTATCCTGTTTTTGCCGTTGCCATGTCTGTGCTGCGACATGCTGGTAGGCCCTCAGCAGCATCTGGTGGTGTGATTGTACCTAACCTTCCAAACAACTGCTGGGTTCTGTTGTGGGGAGCTCCGGTGGCCATCTCGACAGGCAGTCTAGCATGGCGACCATGCAAAACAAAGTGAGGAGTTAATCCAGTGCAGCTTTGCTCAGTGTTGTTATAAGCCTGCAGTAAAGCAGGCAACTTGGTTGGCCACTGTTGCTGGTCAGTCTCATCCAGGGACCTAAGGAGAGAGATGAGGGTTTGGTTAAAACGCTCACATGCTCCGTTACCTTGGGGGTGGTAGGGTGTTGTACGAATTTTGTTGCAACCGTACAGCTGGCAGAGTTCAGCCATGACTGCTGACTCAAATGCAGCTCCTCTGTCAGACAATATCCTTTCAGGACAGCCCCAGGTCTGAATAAGATTGTGCCAGAGCAGTGGTTACTGCTGTCTGGTCCCGGGTGGGCACTGCCCAGTTGTACCGAGAAAACAAGTCAGTCATCCCCAATATGTACTGATAACGGTCGCCTGCTCTCCCCAGTGACAAATAGTCCATGGCAACAGTCTCTAGGGGGTATGAGCTTTCAATAGGGAGGAGTGGGGCTCTCACCTCCGGCCGGCCTTTCCTTTGAATACACTGGGGGCAGTCAGATGACCAGTTTCTGACATTCTGTCCCAGCCTTGGCCAGAAGAATGCTCTCCTCGAAGCAGCCTCTGCACGTGCAGCACTCATATGGCCCATGGCTTGGTGATACTGCTTCCAAACAGTACATGTCCATGTTGCTGGGAGCACAATCTGCTGTAAGAGGTCTCCAGTGTGACGATCCTTCACCTCCCTCTCCAGAACTCCTGCCTGAACCCGAAGGCGACCCCAATCTCTCAAGAGTCGATCTGACACCGGCAAAGCTTGCTCTCTCTCTTCTGCACTTGGTGGCTTACCTCTCCGAAGCCACTCACTCACCTCTCGTAAAGCAGAATCCTCCTGTTGTCTGTCAGCCCATTCACTTGAGAGCCTGTGTCCAATATACAGGGTACTTCCACCCCTTCCACCTCCACCATAATCCCAGGGCATGTTCCAACAATGTCAGGCCGTTGCACTGTCTCCCCACATTCGACATCCCCAGCCACTTGCCCTGTAGTCGCTGGGGCTTCTAGTTTAACGGGTTAGACCTTGGGGCAGCAGCAGCAACCTTACAATAACGCTGTATGTGCCCTGGTTTCCCACAGGCTCTACATATGGGCTTCCCCCTACTGTCCCATTGAAACTCCTCACCAGAGCGTGTCTTTCGTTGGTAGTGGCCATGTTCCACTCTCCCTCTGGGAGACTCTCCTGGCTCATGGTGAAGGTCAGTCCTCACGGTGGGAGACAGCTGTCTTTGTACTTCATCGACTATAGTTTTACTTATCGTAGCCAGCTGCTCATGTATCTCCTGCCTGAGCTCAGTTTTCACCAGTTCCTTCCACCGATTCAGCTCCTGGATGTCTGCTTCTCTCGATGGGGGTGCCACTACCCTGGAAGACTGGGCATCACTTTTACTTTCCTGCTCTCTTTCTATAACTTGGGCCTCTATACAGGCCTCAGAAAAACTGAGATTGGGCCTCTGCCTAATCAGGCGCTCCATCTTCCTCTGCACTTTGCCTGGTTTCAACCCTTTGACAAGCTGTTCTCTGGCCGAGGGTTCTACCTGTGCTGCCACCCGTGGTTCACTTTCCCTCCACCGACTGAAAAGTTCTCTGAAACGCAATATATACAGCTCTACACTCCTCCTCTCTCTGTCTACACTGAAAAAACTGAGTCCTAATGTGAGCAAGAGCACATGGCTGACAATAAAGTCTTTTTAACTCATCTAAAATAGCTTTTGAGGACCCCCTTTTGTCTATGTCTAACAGCATTACTTGTCTTCTTGCAATCCCATCCAAGCCCCAAAGCACAAAATCAACTTTTGTTGGTCATCAAGATCCTGAGCCCTAAGCATAGATTCCATTTGCTCCAACCATGCTCCAAATCTAACACTTCCATCTTTCCCTGAAAATTTTGGTATGAATGGCATTACCATGAACCATGGCATAGCCATAGTGGGCACAGTATTAGCATTAGATGGTCTAGCCCCCTGCTTATCATCTGCCATCTGCACGGTGTGGTATGGGGATCCTGCCGGCAACACCAAAATTTATGTCACAGGGTCGTACTGACCTAATAAAAAAATCCCCGGGCCACACCACACAGACACAAGGATGGAGATGGAGCTGCTTATACAATAATTTATTAAAACCGAATAAACAATTAAAAAGCTAATAAAAGGATAAAAACACAGCTGCTGGCTTATAATAAACAAAACACTGGCTAGAGTGTCTGAGTTAGGTCGCTCTTAAAACAGTCTGAGTAATATTCAATGTATTGCAGCGATGTCCGACCGGCTGCCTCCGTTCAACCGCAGCGCGGTGTAACTCCGTCCGGCAGTCGGCAGTCCCGCAGTCACAATCACCGGGCGGCGTGGCTCCGTCCGGTAGTCGGCAGCTCCCTGTTCACCCGCGTGACGCGGCGTGTCCCGAGTAATCCGCCGTCCCTCTCACACATGAACGCCAGGCTCGCCACGCGTCCTCTCGGACACCTGCATCTCCTCAGGTTGATTGCCCCCTCCCCTGACATCCCGCACCTTGTACTTCTTTTGGCCTTAATTTATGATTTAAATAAAACGATCTGAGAAGTTTGGAGAGTAAACTAGGGCATGCTGTCCTCCAAGAACAATAGCATCAATCGCCTCATAAAGCACATCAAAACAACAACAATGTTAAGAAACAAAGTCGTCTGATAGTAACTGCAGCTGGATTAATGCAGGAAGAACAAGGAAGTCCACACATGGGGGTCGATGGATAGGTCATCAAAACATTACACTGTGATTACATTTCAAGTTTTAACTTTAACCCAACAAACCACACTTCATCTAAATGTTGAATTATAAAATTTATTTGCTCTCTGTTGTGGAATGTACAGACAAATGTTCCAGAGAGCATGGACAAAAGATAGATTTTTTGTATTTTTAACATCTTAACATTTTTTATTTATTTATTTTTTTTACCCCCCCCAAAAAAAGGACTAAAAACTTAGTAAGTATTTTGCTTGTTGGACTCTTTCATAGTGAAAACATTAAGTACATTCTCTTATTACACAGTGAGAAGCTAGTGCTGCTGCTGCTGCTGCTGCTGTGGCTCTGATGTCTTAAAATGCTGTCTGAACTGTGGAGCTTTGTGCCTTCAAACGATGTGTAATGTGAATCAGAAATATGTAAATATCATTCGAAATACAGCGGCAGAATTTTCAGTGGGATATCTTTAATAATACATTTGGTTTGATAAGTAAATCATATGTGCTTTTATGTATAGTGAAATATTGATCTGAAACATTACAGCTGTCAAATACTACAGTACTATATTTCCCTCTGGTATGTAGTGGAACAAAATCGTAAAAAAGCATTGAATTTAAAGTCAAGCAAAGAAAAAAAAAAACTGTGCAAATGTACCGTCTTCAATTCAACACATTTACTGTTGAATCTACTGCAAATTACAAAAATCTATCCGTGTCATTTGTACAAATAAGTTAAACAGCAGTGAGCAGTAACTATTGCTATGATTGCTGTGTATACAAGAGTACAAATATTGTTTCACAGCAGCTGGACAGACGTGTTTTGAGCGTTTGGCAGTGTGCAAATGAGCAAACATCCAGGTGGTGCAAACACAAAGCTACAGCAGCCCACAGGCTGGAAAGGCAAAGGCAAAGAAATCAAGAGTGTGAAGCTCCAAATGAGTCTTTCATTAAATCAACATGTACTTAATCTGCAGAGATAAAGGCTTCCACGTGTCAGTTTGTCTGCTCAAAAGCCTTCAAAAGTCAAACACGTGTAGCCCACCGGTTCCTGATCTGCCACAGGTCGACTCTGCTATTGAAGGATCTTCTTTTTGATGTACTGGCAGAGGCAGAGGGTGGCGGTGCTGCAGTGGTTCCTGCAAGGTCGGAGAGGGTGGTTCGATGGTCCTGGAAGCCTGTCAGACACCAGCAGCTTCACGTACGCTGCGCTGTAGGTCATCAGGAGTTGGTAGGCTTTAGCCTGCAAAGAAAGGTACAAAGAAACACTGGTAGTACATTGTAAAAAAATAAAAAATAAAAAAACTTTAGTAACCGTTTTTAATTGTATTTTTTGAAAAACAATTTCCTGTTATTGTACAGATTTTCCCTGTTTTGTTATATTACAGATAGTAACTTGTAAAATCACAGAAAAACCTAATATTTTTCTTTTAACCATCACAAATAGGCCAAAACTTTGAAGAATGCACAAATCAAAATTTTGTATTTTTATATTTGGTAGTTTGTTCTTTCACAATGTTTGACTTGTTCTTTTCTTTATTTAAATCAGCAAATTCAGCAACATGAAACAATTATTTTACAGATGCTTTCTAATATTTAGGGGGGAAAGTATATTAAGGACTGGATATTAGCAAATACATTATTAACCAGTTGTTTTACAGATGTTTACTTATATGATACATATATGGATAACATCAAGTGAAAATTAAACAAAAAATTTAAACTTACTTGTTGACTAAAAAAAACAGACAAACAAACCCCAAAAAAACGGGCCAAAACTGTACATAATTTACAAAGTACAATTAATTTATTGTGCGTAATAACAAACAACCTTTTTTTTTTTTTTTTTTACTTAAAAAAAAAAAAAAAAAAAAAAAAAAAAACGGGTCAAAACTGTACATAATTTACAAAGTACAATTAATTTATTGTGCGTAACAACAAACAACCTTTTTTTTTTTAAACTTTAATTGAGGAAAAGTAAGGTCTGATATGAATAAACTGTAATACATCTGCTTTTTTTTTCTTTTATTAGTTTTGGCTTCTGGTTTTGTTTATTGTATGTTTTTGAGGATTTTTAACTTAAAGATAAATTAATTTCATTTCAATTTAGTCCAATATCAATACATCTGTGTGAATTTCTCTTCACCAGTATTGTTGGTATACTCGTATCAGAATCAGTTTTATTGCTAAGTAGGTTTTAATATAAAAGCAGTTTCACTTGGTGTTTTAGTGCATAACAGTAAACGCTGACAAGTAGAGATTTTTTTTTTTTTGAAAGGATGAAGGTTTTAAAAAGACAGCAAGTGTTGCAAGTCATGATAAATTTATCACCACCTAATGTGACCTTTAATTCGACTCTGTGTTTCCCCCCACTCATGCTACATGATTGTGATTAAAGTAACCTGTTGATGAAAGTGATGATGCACAGTTAGTCTTCTTTCTATTGCATTATTCTAGTAGAAATTATAACACAAACGTAATCTTTTGGATTCCAGTGTATGCTGTGTACATGCAAAAAACTGCGCAGAAATTTATACCATCTTGTAACTCTTCTTGTTTATGAGCTCAGTCCTTTTCAGCTGAAAATAAGATTCACTCATCAAGACACACTTCATATGTTCTGCTTTAATAAATAATTAAGAGTTGTTTTCGCTCTTTTTTTTTTTTTTACTGCTTTTCACAAGGATTCCCAAAGAACAAATCAGCAGACAGTAAGTGTTTCAAGTCAAATAAGAAGCAAGAGTAGAACAAAACTATTCACACATAGCAGGAATGTGCAAATTATTCACCTGAAACTCAGAAATGTAAACAATACCTGGTGTAAACAACTTTAAATGTGCAAAGAGATGTGTGATTTGGTTAGTTTGATCTGTCACAAACTGTCACGCGTCTCACCTGAGCAGGTAAAGAAGCCTCAGGGACAAGGCTGAAGCTGGAGGTGACTCTAGTGCCCCCCCGCTGGCTGGATGAAGTACTGCAGCCGGTGTCCTCGTTCCCCAGCAGAGGCCTCTGTTCATCACATCTCTGCTCCACATCCGACCCTCCGGCCTCAGGGTCGACGGTCGGGACTTCGGCCACCAGGACAAGATGAGACATTTTGCTCTTCAGTTTGCTCTGATGAAAGTGTGACATCGATTTTAGCTGCTTGATAGGAAGCCATGCATGAGACGTGATGACGTCCTTCAAAGACTACATTTCTGTTTGTCCAAACTCCACAAATACATATCTTTTTTAGCAGGGCTTGGAATTATGTTTCTATTGATTTTGCGAGAGGACAAACATGGGAGCCATGGAGAAAATCGATGAAACAGCAGGAGAACAAACAGAGCGACAGATGTAGTCGACTCTCTCACCTGGGCGTCGGTCGTGACAAAGCTGTGGTCCTCTAAAGTTTCAGTCAGCGCCCTCAAACAACGAGACATGTCCCAGTACACAAAGTACAGCTGCAGGGACACACAGAGGAGGATACAGCAGCTAATAAATTACCACTCACATCTCAGGTTTTACCACAATAACATTTTAATTGACCACTTTACTGCAACATGTTGAGAAGCACACCGGTACAAAACATGTGGTATTATTACTCCTTCATCTCTCTGCAGCTTTCTAAACATTCAGCTTCTCTTATCCTTTTCTTTCATCACTAACCCCTTAAGCTCATTTTTAATAATCGACTTTAATTTGTGTTTGTATTGCTCACATTTCTGATAGTTAAAACCGCTGATGATGAAATAAGCTTCGTTACCCTCTTAAATGTCAGACCTGTGAATAAAAATGCATTTAAAACACTAAAAATAGAAGTACTCTGTTGTGTTTTTCCATATTAAATTGTTAGATTTTAATTAATTCTCATTTTTACTTTAAACTGCAACTAATGGGTATTTAGATTAATTTCCCAATTATTTTCTGTTTTCTAAAGTGTTTGGCTTGTCTAAGAAATTATGTTAGTGTTGTTCATAAATTGTAAAAACAAAAACAGAAAAAGAAGAATTATTCAGAGCCAGAATGTTTGTTTTGTCCAACCAGCAGTTCAAATCATAATAATAATAATTTTGTAAAAAGTAATTTAAATTAAATTTAAAATAAAACAATCAAAAAGAAACGAAGCAACATGTTAGGAACAGCAGCACCAAAAGATGATCAGTCTAAACAGTATGCAAAGGCAACAGACATGCATCCTACAAAAAAAAAAACCCAAAAACACAAGTTTACCGTTTTTAGTCTTTTTTGAGTTGTGACAGCTTCTAATGATGTTATCTTCAACTAATAAACTAAATTGAGTTAAAGAAGTTAGCTTTTTTCCTCCACATTCAAATCTAATTTTAATTCAAATTTACCTTGTGGTGGTAGCATAAATGCAAGTTTTAAAGTTAATTACTCATTAAAACAATCTGTTCCAACTAGTATGTCCACATCATTTAAAATTATTTTTTAAGTATTAGCAACAAAATGACCATAATTATGAACATAAATTCTTAAGTTGGCAATTACAAAATGTTAAAGAGATAGGAGGAGACTTGAAACACTAAACTCCTGGTGAAGAAAAGTTATCATGCTAATTGAGTTACCTCAACATTTAGCTTTAAATCAACACTGAAATTTCACTGTAAATTACACACAGTATTAAGTTGATGCAACATTATTATCATAACCTAAACAATCTTACACGGTTTATCTAAATCGGTAAATTAGTCTTTTTCTTGCAACCATGCATTTAATCAAGTGAAGGAAATAGGTCCTCTGAGTTACTTTCTTAGAGGGTGGATATGTGTTGTTATAAAGAAGTGAATAGCACATTTATTCTCACAGTCTGAGCTGACTTCACGGGACCAACCTGCATGTTTCCGGTGCAGTTCTGCACCCAGTCAGCAACACCCACCAACAGCTTGTGTTTCACCATCCTCTCATTCACCTGGATCAACCGGACGTCTAAATTCATGTTGATCTGACACACAAACAGTTTGAAAGTTGCTTCAGGGGTGTCTCATACACTGCATTAAAAATCCAAAGAAATCCTCCTCTAAATTTAAAATGTAAGTTCACTAACATGAACATGGCAGCAGCTCTGACTGACCTCCTTGTTACTGTGATGAAGGATGAAGATGATGGTGGTGGTAAGGAGGATGGAGATGAGGCTGACGCACAGACAGAGGACCCAGTAATCACTGACTGCAATGTAGAGGTGGAGGGTGGAGAACACGGCACACCACACAACCATGTACAGCATCTGGTGGCAGCAGAGGAGACAAAACAATTAACGCTCACTAATTAGCACGTTCTGTCTTCTGAGTTAATCTGTAAGTTTAACAAGAAACCAGTAGAGACTCCAAGACTTCCTCACAGGCTGCTGTTCCCTCAAAAAGAAATAAAACACCTATTTGCCAAACCACTTTGCATTTTTGCTTGTGTACAGATTCAACATTTATTATGTGAATCAGTTACCTTCAGAGTGGCTTGTCTCCCCCTGCTTCCATGATTTAAGCCAACTCGCTCCTACAGTCCCTCCAACAAGATGAAATGATGTCTGACAGCACATGTTAAGCTCTGAGACTGATGTAGCTTTGTAGGTGAAATATATATTTGTATAAATGAATTTAAATAAAGACTTTTCATGTTTCTGAATGGTTTGTTGTTAGGAGATAATGTGTGTATAACATGTGCGGACACACAATGAGAGTAAATTGTGTGTTTGTTTGTCTGACATAACTCTTAACAATAAATCAGTTGTTGGAGTTGCCCATGACCAGCAGCAACTATAGAGTAAATGGTCCCATCTGTGTGTCTGTGAACACTCTCTAGCACGAATGCTAAGGTCTAACATGTTGATATTTTACAGGCAAGCTAGGAATGGCCTCTCCTCAGAATTATTAAATTTGGGGGTCAATCAGTGCTAAAATAGCTCAGCTAGAGGTCAAAGGTCATTTTTTTCAAAAATGCTGTTTACCTTCAAAAGGTTGGAAGGTAGATTTATGGTATTTGGTGAAGACAAGAAACCATTTTGACTGCACTGTAACTTAAAATCGGTGCAAGAGGGACCCATTGTTTGTATCGGAAACCATATATAGGCTTTGCACTGGGGATGTAATATTTGACCTTGGGTGATATTTCAAGGTAAAAGACTACAAGCTTGGAAGTATTTTGTTTGTTTTAAGTGTCAAATTGATTCCTGCATACTTGCAAAAAATAGATTTATTCAACAACCCGATGCTTTCATTGGGTATTGATTGGACTTTTAAGTCAGTATGCAACATATTCTTCCCCTAAAGACAGCAGAAAAGGTAAGAAACAACCATTTTTTGGCGTGTACGCACTCCTATGACAAAGTAAGGAGCTATTGATGGTTTAGAGTTGGTATCCTAAAATGATTTATGCCGTTTGAATTCTGAGACTTTCAAAAGATAATGTAGCTTAGTTTAAGAAACGAGCCAATGCCAAGCAAAATACAGCAGCAGAATTTCAATTCTGCCCGTACTCATTTATTTTTGGGTCACAAAATAAAACAATACATTATTTCTTCAAGGGACGGTTTATGTTAAAAATTGGCCTACAATCATCTAAAATGTTTCTGCAATAGGTCAGGTGATGGACAACTTCCCACAGTTCTGCAGGCTGTAACTCCCAGCTTACAGATGAATGAAATATATTTTTTTATAGACAAATGTGCAAAAGTCGAAACACTCCACAGTTTCTTGAGATTCACAGTCACAATATCCGTCTTGCTTTGTCTGTGAGGTACTATTTGATTACTGATGCCATCCTTGAATCCTGGAATCTAAGTAATTTCACTCTTATAGTATCAGCAGTCTTAAAGGGGTATTCCTCTGATTTTACACATCAAGATCATTTGACTGATCATGAGGTGTACTGAGACAGTGAAAATATCATAACTTCTTCTAAAATTAGCTCTGCCAAAGCTTTTATTACAAATGTGTTGAGTTTGAGGAACAGAAGTTTGATGGAAGACACTACTGAGTTGTATTGAAATAGTTACTGTCTTGATATCTCTTCTGTATTGATTTTGACTCTTAAAAACATCTAAACTGAAAAATGTATAAATGAGCAGGATATAATACTGGATAATGGATGATCATACCGGTGCCAGGACAAAATGAAAGAGGGCTGAGTTGAAAACCATGTATCTCCTCACTGAAGGGACATCCAGAGCAGATTTCAGCAGAGCCTCCATGTCTCCTACTGGAATCTAACAGAATAAAACAACATGAAACAAATTAATTAACAACCTGGACTGCATGTACACACAGAGGAATGTGTAATTCAGTGATACAGATATTTGAGTTTTGTGTTGCCACTCAATGCTTTGGTCAGTGTGTTAACCTGAAAGCCATCTCGCTCCAGTTTGGCGCGACACAGAGACAAATCAAAGCTGGGGTTTAATGACGAACAGCTCGGCATCGACACAACACACTGGCCTAAGAGAAAAACAAAGAGAGGAATCAATGACAGAAATATCATTGTATGAAGGCTGAAAATGGAAGAGTGACAAGACAGCAAGGGCAACTGAAAATAAATACCAACACTACAGCATGCAACAACAGGCGACTCTACGTTCTGTAAATAGTTTGCTAAACACTGCCTGCAGTTAAACCAAAAAGTCCCTTAACTTTTGTCGCCTGATTGCTGGTCACAGCTGAGTCACAGCTGAGTCACTAATAGTTTCATCGTTGCACCAAGGAGCACAGTTTTTCTTTTCTTTTTTTCAGAGCAAATGGTTAATCTTTGGCAAATGTTTGAATGAGATGCTGAATAAAGGGATTTTGCTAAAAAAAAAATTCCTGACAGAAGGGTACATCACAGGACTGTCTGACAGTCCAATTCTTTCTATCTTTAGTTTCTGGCTAATATATGGTGTATTTTTTTCAAAAATAACAATTTTTTCACACCTGCTGGCACATTTCGAGGTTCAGATGGTTACATTCTTGTGGAGTTTGAAAATGTCAAATTAATGTCAGCTTAGACTTTTGGGATAATGTGCTCTCAGTAATAATGTAAATGGCACACAGTTGAAGCCCACACAGAACAAAAATGATATCTAACAGTGTGAACAAAATCACTTTTTTTTTTTAACCTCAAAGCTGCTTCACTGAAAATAAAATGGTGTGTTTAGTGGTTAGATTACCTGCCTTTCATACACAACTCTGCACGAGTGTTTCTCATATCTGGAACATGCAAACATGACATTATGACAGCACATGGTAATGGTGCTGTAGAAATACTGGTACAGCATAACCTCAGGTAGACAGGTAGATTTAGTAAGATTGCCATTTTAACTGGTAAACATAAGTAATGCTTTAATTTAAGGCAAAATAAATCACATAAAAAATGTATTTATTTATGGTGAAAGTTTAAGTCTAAAGGAAGCAACATTATCTAATCTATTACTGTATATCAGTTGGATAAATGTTAAATTGACTAATTACTGTCATGACCCCGCGGCCTCAGCTCCAGCCCTTGCCTGTCTCCCTCTTTTTCTCCCTCTCTTCTCCCTCCTCTCTTTCTGTCTGTCTCTCGCTCTCTGTCCCTCTCTCCCTTTCTGCCCCTATGCATCTCAGCACACAGTCAAGGACAGTCAGCCACAGCTGCAACTCCGGACCCACCTGCTCACAATCACCACAGTTCCTATAAAGACTGTTCTTTCCACCACAAGCTGCCAGACCATAGCCATTCCTCCTGCCAGTCCCTGCTCTGTCTCCAGCCTATATTTCCCCCAACCAGCTTTCTCCACTGGTTCCAGCCTGGATTCCCTGAGCCTGTTTGCCCCTTGGTTTTGTCCTCGTCTGTGAGTATCCCCGTTAGTTTGAGTAGCTTTGTTTTGTATTTTAGAATTCGTTAGGTTTTTTCTCCTCTGTTCCTTGTCTAAAGTTTTTTAGGTTTTTCTAGTTTTGCCCCCCCTCGTAGTTTGGTTTTCCTGTTCTGTGTCTCTCTTCCCCCCCTCCTCCAGTTTAGTTTCTGCACCTCACTTTAAATTCATTTTTTATCCTTGTTTAAAAAATCTTTGTATACCTCACCTGCCTGCTTCATGTGTGTCTGCACCTGGGTTCCCTAATTACCCCATCGTGGCAATTGGTTCATTTATTAGATATCAGATAACAGCTTGCGAATGATGTCAACGGACAATATGACAATCTTTTTGCTAAAATTGGTCAGGTTTAGACACAAACAGCATAAAGATTCTGTTGGCCATGGTCTCTTTAATAAGACTTTAACTCTGCTTCTTTTTTTGGCCACTGGATTTAATGACTGAGGCGATGGTTTAACAGAATGCAAAGTGGCCAACAAATGTGTAAATAATGAGACAAAAATACAAGATATCAACTGTATACAACAAACTGAACCCCACAGACCCATATATACTGCCTTTTAGTAACTTTTATATAAAGGTCACTCTGGGAGACTTTTCACACTTTTTACCAGTATAATTTACCAAATACAAGCAGTTACCATTGGACCAGTTCAGTTTGCTGCTGCTGGTCTGTGGCTGAGTCATTCCAGTCTGAACATCCACCTCACTCTCCTCCACTACCTGGCAAACTCCATTCCTGTCCTCCATTATCTCAGAGTTCACCATGTCCTAAAGGAGAAATGATACTAGTCACCAACAATGACAAACAGCTCCTGTCTTAAAGTCTGAAGTGGACTGTAAGTACTTTTGATCGTTCCTGGTATCATAAAACTGCAATTCCATGTTCCTATCATTCATGTGATAGTCATGCATTATTTTGCAACTACATTTGAAAGCATGAAGAGAAACTGATGTGTTAGAGGTCATGGCCTAAAGTGTAAACATCAATCTAATACAGGAAGAAAACACATCTGATTGTTGGAGGAGCAAAGTTGTTGGGTAAGAATCTAAATTAACTATGTGAGGCAGAACATCCGAGTTGGCACAATAAAATAAAGGAACACATTTATTGTTCTCCCAACACAATGACAGGATCGTCCGGGGAGTAGTTGTGCAGTTCCTCTGAGGGTATTTAGGAAATAAATTTAGCTGGGAAATTATTATTGTTATAGCAGCTATAACTGTTGAGTGTGCAGAGAAGTTGCTGCTGGAATGAAGCTATTTTAATGTAGGTCTAGTGTTAGTCATTAATAAATTTGAAAAATTAGCTCAAACTAAAACTGGTAGTTTTTAAAACAATAATTATTACAGCTGAAGGAGCTACAAGTCACAAATAGAATACTGAAATGGTTGACCAGCGTTAAAGGTAATGGATAAACAGTTAGCATAGTTAGCTGAAAGTATTAGCTAAGAGTTTTAGTGTTAAAAGCAAAAACTAATCAATTAAGGGTAAGAGTTACCTGAAAGTCGTGGATAAACGGCATAGTTAGCCAAAAGTATTAGCTAAGAATATGAGCTAGTGTTAAAAAGCAAAAACTAATGAATAAACAGTTGATGTAAATAGATATACCTATAGCAAAGAGTAACAAATAACTGAAATAGCAAAAAAAAATAAAAGGTGATAGTGAAAGGGAAAAAAAAAAAACCTAAAATTAGGTGTGAGGTTCCCCCAGGCTCAATATTAGGTCCCATTCTTTTTAATCTTTCATATGCTTCCTCTTGGGGACAGCATCAGTTTCCATAGCTACGCCGATGACGCACAGCTGTATGTTGCCGTGTCTTCTGATGACACAAGGCCAATAGACACCCTTTTTAAGTGCAACCAGGACAAAACTGAAGTTTTAGTTATAGGTCCTGAAGGCTAGAGAGAGAAACTTTTGGCAAATCTACAAGATTTTAAACCATCACAATCTGTTTTAAAAAAAAATTTTAAAAAAGAGGAAAAAAACCTGGGCGTGATTTTTGACTCTGAGCTGAATTGTATCTCCCATATTAAAAATATTGTGAAAATAGGCTTTTATCATCTTGAGAACATAGCCAGAGTCTGCCCGTTTCTCTCTCAGGCCAGCACGGAGGTGCTAATGCATGATTTTCTCCTGCTTAGATTATGTGCATTGTAAATCTCCAATTACTGCAAAACTCAGCCGCTTGCGTGCTGAGGAGGACCAGAGGGTGGGCCCACATTACACCTGTTTTTAAAGTAGCTGCATTGGCTCCCCGTCCGCTTCAGGATCGATTTTAAAGTTCTTTTTACTAGTTTTTAAATGTCTCAACAGCCTTGTGCCCTCTTATTTATCTGACCTGCTTTTACCATATCAACCCTCGCAGATCCTGAGGTCCTCCAGCAGTGACCTTTTATCCATTCAAGTAGTGAGAACTAGAACCCACAGTGAGGCAGCACTTAACCACTACGGCCCCCACCCGTGGAACAGCCTGCCAGAGAGCCTCAGGACTGCAGAGACTGTCGATATTTTTAAACGACGGTTAAAGACGCACCTTTTTAAATCAGGCTTTTAATTGACCTTATAAATTCTTTTTACATTGTTAGTGTTTATTTTTATCTTATATATTTCACTCTTAATTTTTATTTTATCTTACATAGGGCCTTTTATTCATTACATTTTTTTTGTTTTTAACTTCAGTGTTTCCTTAGGGTGGTCCTCCACACTGGGGGCTGTGTCTGGTCTGCTGCTGGGGGTTCCACCAAATGACTAGCTAGCATTGAAAGTAGTGGATAAACAGTTGATTAATTAGCTGAAACTGTTAATAATAAACTCGGTAGTAGTTTACTAAAATTAGTGTACAATTTGATAAGCTAAAAGAAATAAAGAGTTGAAATGGTAAGTTGTGTTATGTTAGCTAACATTAAAGATGATGGATAAACAGCTGGTATAGTTATGTGAAAGTATTAGCTAAATGACATGCCCTCCGCCTTTGGCTCCACCGAGTGGAGCAATTGTTGTTTTCTGTGCAACAAGCCAGAGGGACAAGGGACCAGGTGTTCTGTATCAATCAGCCGATTGCTCCAGCTGCAGCGAGGCGTGGCTTGCCATTCACTTTCAGACCTGCATGCAGTACTTAAGACGCCAGCAAGCCACAAGTTGACGCCGGATCGTAGTAAAACCCAAGTTAGTTTGTGCTTGTTCTTATACTTTGCTCGTTGTTTTGATTCTGCTTCTAACTCAACTCTCCTGTGCTCTAGTTTTTGCCACGCTCGCTGCTTTCTGAGATCCACCATTTATTCCCTCCTCAATGTTGGACTCAACTGGCTCCAGCTCTCCATATCCTCTGTGTCCCTCCGCTGAAGTCATCTGGTCCACCTCCGTCTCCTCCGGCTCCCCCACTCTAGTTCTCTGTACTGTAGTCATACCTTATCTCTCGCCTACTGAACCAGTAGTTATTTATAGGTTAGTATTCATTGCGGTAAGTTGTTTTTTTTTTTTTTTGGATTAAATTCGTATGTATTGTTTGTCGTCCTTGAGAGGATGTTTTGTGATATTTCAAGTAGCAAGTATTTGTTGCAGTAGTTAGTTTGCCGGTCCATTAGGGGACCTTAGTTCGTCACTTTGTATTGTTTCATTATTTGTAAAAAAAAAAATTGTTTCATAGTATTCACTGCTTGGTGGTCTTTTGTCTGCACCTGAGCCTATGTTTGTCAAAACCGTGACAGCTAAGAGTAATAAACAAAAAACAGAATAATTCTAGAATAATTAAGAATAGTAGTTATGTAGTGAATAAACAGTAGTTAACTAGGTAATAAAGGTTTGAAATGGTTAGCTAGCATTGAAGGGAATGGATAAACAGTTGATGTGTTAGCTAGAACTGTTAAAAATAATGAATTAAGAGTAGCCTAATAGTTTGCATATATATATATATATATATATATATATACTAAAATCCACACACATATGTGTGTGTATTTTAGTTAGCAAAAAGAAATAGAGTTGAACTGGTAAGTTAAGTTGTATAACTGTCTTGTAATCAAACATGTACAACACTTTGGCCAACTCAGTTTGATATTTTCTAGAAGAGCTGAAATAGCAAACTGAAGGTAGTTGACCTAGTTATTCAAATGGTCAGCTGAAAGTATTAAACGGTTTAAAAGGTTAACCAGCACAAATATTTATAAGCAGGTGATATATTTAGCTGAATAAAGAACAAAAATAGGTAAAAGTGGTGGATAAACTGTTCAGTTATGTCTAGTAATGCATAAATAGTTGAAACCTCCAGCTTCTGTCACTCAAAGTAACAGTATGAATGCAGACTGGATCAAAACAATCTACACACTAACAGTTTAAGTATGTGAAATGTAATTATGTCTAATTCAATTGTCACAACAAATTATTCATTTTTATAGTCTATTCATCAGAAAGCATATCAGACAGGGCTGTGGAGTTAATCGGATTGAAAAAGTTGGAAACTATTGACCTTACAGACCTGTCACGCTTCAAGATGAAGAACTTTCAAGTAGAGCGTAGTTTCTTTTCAAAAGGCCCTTCGGGTAAGCCACAGGCTCTATCACTGATACACAAGTTCACTGTTAACTTGAAATGCAACAAGTCTGAAAAGCTGCAGGGAAACGGGTCACTTCTGCTTTCTGGGCTTTTACGGCAGAGTCACAGTGATGCTGCATCTGCTCAAAGGCAGCTGTGCTCTCCTAATGGAAAGATTAAGTTCAGAGTAATAGACTTTTGAGAATTTACATTTTTATGAGCCTTTGGACGTGTATCTGTATTGCCTCCTCTGCAAAATGTACAAAAATGCTTTATCACGGCAGAGTGGCTGTCTGTTAATAGAGGATAAGAGTATAATAGTCATGACACTCTTCAGCACATTTCTGATCCTCTCAACAGCCTAATGTCTGTCAAATAAAATAAGAAGATAAAACTACTTACAGACAAAACCAGCTCTCTCTAGGTCTATTTCCATCTCTTGGCTACTGACAAAGACACATTTTCAACAATGAAGTGTGAAAACTCAACTTGAGTTGTTAGTTCACTTCCTCTCAGTCTACCTTCTGTGCCTGCTCTGTCTTTAAGGGGCAGACCTCCTCCCTGACTTTATTTTTCTTTCATTTCCTTGCTTGTTAGTACTAAACAATCTATCAGATTACCTACTGAAGAGGAACAAAAAAGAACACAGTATAGTTCACAGAAGCAGAAGGTTGTGTCGTTGCACAAGCTGCACCCTCAGGAGTTTATCAGTAAAAACCCAGCTCACAGTCTGTTATCTTAAAACTGCATCTTTTCATGTCCGGTGGTGCACACTGCTCCTTTTTGGTTTTTTTGAGCAGAACGGTTTGTTGAGCTTTAAAGTGAACTGAAGACAGTGATACATCTCCAAAACTGTTCCATAAATCGTTCCCATTGGAAGTAAGAGTTCAGTCACATTTCTTTTTGTGCAAAGGTTAATTCAAAAAGCTTTGTTTTTCTGTGACAACACATGGGAGCCACTGCAACCTTGAAAGCAACATGAATGATACAAAACTGCAGTTTTTACAGGAATGAATGCATCCTACCTACTCTTCAGATGATAGTCCATCATATCAACAGAGCTGACATGATTGTACTCCCTTGTTTTTCTTATTGTAGTCCTTGAAAGCAGCAGAGTCTTACAGCAGAATGTGGCGTATGTTCCTTTCACACAACAGTGTGGCGCAGCTTCTCTCCGTTTCCTCCTCTTAGCGTGTGACTCAGATCAGCTTGGCCTCATGACTGCAGGAATGTGGTTTGTGGTCCCTCAGTTCATCACACACAGCACAACAGATGAAGGTCAGGAGTGCTGGTTCACCTATTTCTTTTTTTGAAGGAAAGTTTATTTTGATATGATGTGACCGTTTTGTTTTTTTTAGGGGGTGGGGGGTTAGTGGGGAGGAGTCAGTTTGTTTTCATGAGAATCATGTTGCAGCTTTACTGGAACTGTTAAATATTAACTTGTGAAGTTCAAGGACGCACAATTATACACACTCATTTATGCCCACATTAGTGTCCATACTGCAAAAAATACAAATCCCAAAAATAAACAGTGAAAATCTGGCAGCAAAGGTACCAGAGAAAATACACAAAAAATAAATCATATAAATTAAAAAAAGTCAGTGGAATGTTCAAAAACTGTGAAAATAGCAGGAAATATTCATAAAAATGTTTTTTTTTTTTTTTTTTTTAAGCTGATTTGAATTCAGTAAAACGGTATTATTAGATGGTCCCACATTGTAAAAAAGTAAATTACTGTCTATAAAAATACAGATGTTTGATACTGAGACTATTTACACTGTTTATTTGCGTGTTTATTTACAGTAAATGTATGAGTTCATACTTTTTGCCTGCAATTTTACTAGATACTGAATTGTTAAAAAAAGATTTATCATCTTTTTCAACCTTATTACACATAGTTTTTCTTCCAAATAGTGGCACCTATTGTAATATAATTTTGTTGGTTTCTTTTTTTGCTAATGTAACACAGTAAAAACTGTGCAATTTTGCAGTCAGGTGTTGCAAAAGAAGAAACTACACTAGATTTTTTATTTATTTTTTTAAAATAAAAACATAAATAAATGGAAGAGATTTACGGGCTGCAAGGTGGCTCAGTGGTTAGCACTGTTGCCGTGCAGCAAGAAGAGATCTGGTATCTTTCTGCGTGGAGTTTGCATGTTCTCCTTGTGCAGCGTGGGTTCTCTCCGGGTTCTCTGGCTTCCTCCCACACAGTTCAAAAACATTTTAAGGTTAATTGGTGATTCTAAATTGTCCGTAGGTGTGAGTGTGCTTGGTTGTCTGTCTCTAAGTGTAGCCCTGTGATAGACTGGCGACCTGTCCAGGTTGTCCCCTGCCTTCGCCCTAAGTCAGCTGGGATAGGCTCCAGCCCCCCGCGACCCTAGTGTGGACTAAGCGGTGTATAGATAATTGTAATGGCTTATAACCGTATCTTCAAAAAAAGACAAGAGTCAGGACATCTGCTTGAATGCTGCTTTAGTGAACAAACTGTAACTTCAGCTACACAGAACAACTTGCTGCTAGCCAGTATAACGTAACGCTAGCCGCTCGTAGCGCTGTTTATTTTCCCAAAATCCTTTGCTCGCCCCGAGCATCATGGGTAATGAAGTCCCCAAAGTTATTGACTTCATCTAAACTTCAAGAGGATACAACAACTGAACTGGTCTTCTAAGTATTGTCCCTGAAGTAGTCCAAACAGCACAAGAATGCACAAGTCCATCTCGACCTGGAAACAGTTCTTCAATTCTCCCAAGCTTCCAGGACTGTCTTGGAGTGTTGTCCTCCCCGATGAGTGCAATGTCCCCCACCTTCAGTGTGAGGGCCGCGGTGTCTCACTACAACGTGCTGATTTTAAGTCCAGCAAATACTCCCTTCGCCATCTATGCCAGAAGCCGGTCATGAGTCTCTGCCTGTATCTCCAACTCCTTGTCATCTCCTCCTTGTTCAAAGTGGGATGGTGAGTGTCTGCTGGAAATGACTTCGGAGGTAAACATGTGAGTCTCTCACCCACCAAGAAGTGAGCTGGTGTCAGTGCCTGTGGTTCATTCACTTCATTGTGCACATAGGTAATTGGCCTTGAGTTTATTGTGGCTTCAGCTTCTGTCAGGATGGTGCACATTTCCTCAAAATTCAGTTTGGCTCTTCCGAGCACCTTTCTCAGAATGATTATAACTGACCGCACAAGTCTCTCCCAAAATCCACCCCACCAGGCTGCTGTCTCAGCGATGAACCGCCAGGTGATGCCCTTGAGAGAAAAGAACTCTTGTAGTTGTGGATCTTTAATCGCTTTCCACATCTCTCTCAAATCCTTATCAGCTCTCTTGAATGTTCTGGCATTGTCAGAATAGATCACCTTACACAATCCTCTTCTTGAGATGAATCTTTTCAAAGCTAACACAAAGTTTTCAGTGGACTGGTCAGAGACCAGCTCCAAGTGCACTGCTCTTGTTACTGCACGTGAACAATGCAATGTAAGATTTTTTCATAGACCCTTGGCCCTTCACATAGACTGGTCCTGCGAAATCCACACCTGTGACTTCGAATGGGGGTGACTCTGATATTCTGCATTGCTTGGCAATGGTGCAGTAGTCTGTTGTCCTGCCCTTGCCTTGAATCTCCTACAAAGAATGTACCTTGACACAACCTTCTTCACTATCTGCCTTGCTCTTAAAATCCAAAATCTCTCTCTGGTTTGCACTAAAGTGTCTCTTACACCTGCATGCATTATTCCTTCATGTTGATACTGAACCAGCATCTCTGTGTATCGGTTGTTTTGGGGAGAATCCATGGGTGCTTCTCTCAGTAAGTGAAATCTGAATGTTGAAGCCTTCCTCCAACACTGAGTAACTCATCTTCATCCAGAAAGGGTCTTAACTCTCGTATTTTGGAGTCAAGGTTGAGGTCTTTTCCTGCCTTTAGCAGATTGATTTCATGACTGAAAGCCTGAGTCTGCATTACCTGGATCCAGTATTTCTCTGCATCATGCAGTTCATCTGCTGTCAGTTCACCACGTGTCTTTACACTTGAGCGTGTTGGTGATAAATCTCTTCATCCAGGCGGTGACTCTGTAAACTCGTTTTAGTTTACTCTACTCTTCCAGGCATAGCACTGTTTGTAAGAACTCTGTGTCTTGATGAACAAGCTGCACAGCAACCTGGTACTTGGACTTAAGTTCAGAGTACACCTCGTCTTCTTGAACATAGTCCTTAACTTCTTCCAGATGACTGACACTAGGTCCATTCCATCACAGTTCGCTATGCTTCAGATCCTGCACAGTTAGTCCTCTTGTGGGAAGGTCTGCAGGATTCCTTTTCCCTGGACAGTGTGACCATGCCTCTGGATCAGTCAGGGATTGGATTTCCAGCACTCTGTTCGCAACAAACTGTTTCCACTTCTGAGCAGAACTCTGTATCCAATGTAATGCTATCATTGAATCTGTCCACAGTCTGAGTTGC